GCGAGTGTCCTCGACCTAGGTGATGGAGAGTGATGATGCCAGAGCTTATATGCAAGCAGGGCCGACTGTCTGTTATTGCGTGATTGCGTGCTACTGTGATAGTGTGGAGTCACGGGTAGCATGGGAATAACTCTGGAGATCTATGAATGTGACGCGTCAATATATTGGGGTAACTGTGAGTACCGAGTGCTGTTTGGTTGTAGACGTACAAACGCTGTTTGCACGTGCCGTGGTATGTGGAGATACAGCAGCGGATGTTGCGGTGACGATATCAGAAGCTGTGTCATATCTCCTTATCTCCGGTCCGTAACTTCACCGATGAATACATCCTCAGATTGCAGACGACGATGCGACGGTGATGTTGTTTGTAGATTTTTGTGAAGCAGGCTGGCTGTAACATCGATAACGTCACCTTATCGTAACAGTACACATTGAATCTACACCAACTTCAACTCGAAGTTCTTAACCAGGACCTCCCCACCCAGCTTGCTTGTCGCAAAGTTGAACACACCGAATCGGTATCCCGTGAAGAACTGCCATGTATTCGCCATGTTGTATGCAGGACCAAGCTGCACGAACTTGGTGCCATCAGTGCTGTACCAGAAAGTTGTTTGTCGCACCGCGTTGGTGTTGGAGAAAGCTGGCGTGATGTCTGACTGAACGCGGAACCACAGATCGGTTGTGCCGGCAGCAAGACTAGGCCCCGTGGCAGCGACAGTACCGGTAGACTTCGTCGTTCGGTCTGCGTTCAATTCCAAGCCGTTGACCATTACCAACTTTGCCGCAGAGCCTTCTTTATGTATACCGATGTATGCTCCGGTGTCACGGAAAAGTACAGCGCCAGCACGGTCGCCAGTGGCCATTTTGCTGATGTCGATCTTGAAAGTTCCCGATGACTTCGGGCCAAGGATACGGTGTGTCAGCGTATTGCGCGCCGCGTAGAGGTCATTCGTAACAGAAGCAGTCTGTAACTTGATGCCACCAGCCCCGCCTACTAGGCTCCACTTGCTGGTATCAGGGTTGTGGTTGAATTCCCACTCTGCACTTAAAGCTGTTCCAGTAAATTTGTCCAAGCCGGTGGGTGGGGGGACGGTCTTGGCGGTTGTGACTGGCATAGGGTATGTCTTGCCCCATTCACCATTCACTTTCTCAACTTCCGGCCATCCATCCGCCGTCCACTTCAAAGGCGCAGCGACAGGAATGCGTCCACCAGGATACGAGTCCATAAACGCAACGTAATACCACTTCCCATCTTTGGTATCGACTACACCGCCTTGGTGGCTGTTGCCTGCGTTCGGCAAAGGTCCTGCAATGCTGTCGACGAGGATTCGCGCCTCATATGGGCCCCAGGGACTCTTTGACTTCAACACCCACTCGTCATCGGCCGGCTTGGTAGCAAAGATGTAGTATGTGCCGTTGATCTTGTACATGCGCGAACCTTCGAGGTATAGGCCATTTGGATCTTCATAGACTTGTTGACTCCTGACTTCCGCTGTGCCGTCGGCGTTCAATTGGGCAACCTTGAGCTGGTACTTGTCGTACACGATGTACATGGTGTCATCATCGTCAATAAAGATCCCGTTGTCGTAATAGCACTTGGGGAATGAGCCCGCGGCAGTCCAATTCCAGCTCGACACTTCGCCATTGTTGGCGGCTGCATTGTTCCCGTCGGCAGTCCATATGTACGACTTCCCGGTGGATTGAACACAACCAATCCAAATGAACTTGTCGGACGATTCGCGGTATCTCAGTGAGCTGGCCCAGATGCCCTTGACGTAAGCATGGCCTGCTGTGTTATCGAGGTCGTATATCGAGCCGAAGTTAAGTCTTGGTACGCTATGAGTTACTGGTGTCCAATTAACGAGGTCGTAAGACTTTAGGACCGGAGCTCCTGGCGAGAAGGCGAAAGTCGAGGAGGAGTAGTAGAACACATCGCCTATCCGGAAGACGTCGAGGTCGGGATAGTCTTGCCACAAGACTGGATTGTTGAACGTTGTAGCCCGACTGGTAAGCTCGTTGCTGGCGAGTGGGCTTCCCACGGCCGACCGAGACAATAAGCTGGCGAGCGCAATAGCTGAAGAGAAGCGCATGGTGGCTGGCGTATGCAATGAATGTGCTTGTGAATCGAGCGACGATGCCCTGGAGCATTTATACCAGCAATGGGCATTGCGCTATTTCGAGTGGCGCATGTCATCTCTGGAGAACCTTGTCTATTGTAACATGTTCATCAATTACCCCACATAGCCCTCTCAGGAAGTGCGCTACCGCTCAAGACGCCGTATTTACATTGAAAACCCGGGGTAATCACCGCACCAAGTTTGGGGTCGTCGGACCGGCTTCGCAACGCTCTTTCCCATTGGTGCAGCTCGGCTTGAGTTCTTCCGACTGGACACAGGCTGAGTGATCGACGTCGTCATTGCCGGTGGCTATCCGTGGTGTCGTGAGTTTTACCGAGCGTGAAGATTTGCGAGAATGTCGTATACATAAGATGAGATGCGAGGGGAGATGACATCGAGTGTGAGATAGAGGATGCAGGGGTAGATGTCAAAGCAAGAGGGCCCGAGCGTCAACCGTGTTTCGTCCGAGCTTCCAGACACGTTCCTTTAGACCCTGCACCAGCCTCGCTACGGCGAAGAACATAGCGCAGACGTCTACCTGCTCCAATCCAGTCCGGCTGGTGTGCTTCCAACAATGCGACCTCTCAGGATGACGTCAAAAGTGTTGTCGTTCGTAGAATGACAGCTTTCCAAACAGGGTGTGACCTTTCCCCAGAGTCGGCACAACTTTTCTCCGATCGCCTTAGCCCGTTTGTATGTCATCTTCGCCCTGTACTTCACTTATCGTCACACAGAAGGACATGATCGGTGTGAGCAAAGAGCGACATTGCTTGTCTGCACATACCCTCAGACTGCTTCCCCGATTTGGCAATTTGTACAAACATGGGGTGCAGATACGGGATGCACATGGCGCATGCCAAGAGCAGACAGGACTCTCTGGAAGAGGAGGCAGACGACTGATGAGGGGACTAAATCGGTTCGTTTTTCACACATTGCCTGGCGGCGAACCCCTCTTGCCCGTGGTCGCCACAGTAGACTCGACATGATACGAGAACGGACACTACAGGCAAAGTTGGCTGGCTTCACGAGACCAATGGCTTCGATGCTTTTTTGCTGCACGGCGATTGGACATAAGTCTTCGCCCCCACCCTTCAACTACATGAAGGTTTGCTAACGCTCATTACAAATCACGGCTACCTTGTCTTGTGGCTTGGAATGCGGTATGAATGCTAGTCAGCGAAGGATGGTGGCCTAATAGCAACTGCATAAATAGTTGTCGTCATCTTACCAGGACGAAACGCCCACAGAACAACTCGAACTCCTCGAAGATTACTGAAGCGGCCACTCGATCAAGATTGTTTGCTTCTACTCCTTTTCAATGGACGAATTTGAGAAATACCTCGAGAAGGCGACTGCCAAAGGCTCGGACATTGTGCCCGGGGCGGTGATGGCTGTCGTCGATAAGGATGGTACTTTCCCCGATACTATCTCCAAATGAGTGTATCTCACGCGCGCTGCAGGCAAATTCATCTACAAGAAGACCGCAGGTTACAATGGCGTCACTGAAGATGCGGAGCCTATGGACTTTGATCAAACCTTCTTCATCGCATCCTGCACAAAGCTCATCACTGCTATTGCTGCCCTGCAAAGCGTTCAACACGGTTTAGTCACGCTAGATGGACCAGTCGATCAGTACCTACCAGAACTGGCTTCCCAGCCCATCGTTCAGATGGACGGCTCCGAGATCAAAGTGCGTCCAGCCACGAAGTCCATTACGCTGCGTCAACTTATCACGCATTCCAGTGGCACGACGTACGGTAAGTGTTTCTAGACGGACAGCACACAGCATGGACTGATTTCGCCAACTTGTAGACTGGGCTTCTCCAAGTCTTTACGCGTGGAGGGCCTCACGCGGCGAACTACCCGCTCTAATAACCGACGGCAACGTGGCTAAGAAGTATGCCTATCCACGGACCTTCGAAGCTGGAGAAGGCTGGGAATACAGCGGTGGTTTCGATTGGACCAGTTTGCTCATCACACGTTTGACCAACATGAGTTTCGAAGAATATGTCGAAATCAACATTGCAAAGCCTCTCGGTATAACTTCATTCACCTGGCATCTCAATCGCAAGCCCGCAGTGGAAGAAAAGCTGATGCGCACGAGCACTCGGCAGGACGACGGTAGTCTCACAGATGGCCCAACACCCTTTTGGTCTGGCGACCCTGTTGGAGAAGGTGGTGGAGCGGGCTTGTATGCCAATGTGTACGACTACACGCGCGTGCTTTCCGATCTCCTCAAACCTTCGCCTATCATTCTGTCCAAAACCATGGTCGACGCCATGTTCAGCCCACAGTTCGCCGAAGACAGTCTCGCGGCCAAGGCACTCGTCGATAACGCCGAGCTCGCTTATACCTGCACGTTGGACGCCAGTATGGAAGGCGTCAAACCGAACTTCGGACTGGGTAGTCTGTTGCTGATGGAAGATGTGAATCGAGAGAACTACTTCAAGCCAAAGGGTACGTTGTGCTGGTCAGGACTTCCGAATCTACAGTGGAGTGTCAATCGTGAGAGGGGAATCGCGCTGTTCTTTGCGACGCAGGTGTCACCTTGGGCAGATCGCAAGACGTTCGATCTTGTCGCAAGATTTGAGACGGCTGTTTGGCGAAACCTGGAAGCATAGAGTTGGTGGCAGTTGATAATTAGTAAGATGACTGGTCTTTTCGCAGTGTGCTTTTGCTATGCATGCATTGATGTCTGCAACGCTCGAGCTTATTTAGTTGAGTCTGTGCGCTACTGCGGTGGTACAGGCGAACGTGGAAATGACTACCTAGGGAAGTTACCAGTGGCGCTAGTTCTCAGACTCGCACACCCGCCCTTCCTCACCACCGATACTGCACCACGACCGACCCACCAATATCGCAATGACTACCAAAGCACCAAACATGTCACTCATCGGGACAAGCTTGCCAAAGGCTCCTGCTGCTCCAGGTACCGATGCAGATCAGCCTTCTGTTACGGGCGAAAATCTCCTCAAGATGGTATGTTCCAAGAATGTGAACTGAGTGCTTGCATTGCTAACTATTGGAAGGTTTGCGATGAGACTGGCGATGCCCACTACTGCTCCTCTACGCGCCAATCGAAGAAAAGAAAAACACGCCAAACAACTTCACCCCCACTCGACGACACCGACAAGCCCTCGCACGCTGCGCATGACCACATGAAGGCTTCAGTCACCAGCGATACTAGATCCAATACCTTTGCGTTCATGCGATTACCCGCCGATGTACGTCTTTGCGTCTATGATCAGCTGGTGGCCATGCCAGTAGCTCGATCACTTGTCGGGCCTCACTTTCAAATACACCATGCGAAGCCTTCTGTGGGCATACTGAGAGTCAGTCGACTAGTTCGCGAAGAAGCCTACCCCATCATAGAGCGCGGCCGTTTGAAGAGACGTCCATCATTAATCGTCAAGGTTCCTGCGAACAGCAGCCCAGCCGATACATCAAAGTACCTATATCGGATCGCAGATTTGATGGGTGACCTCGCGTACCGGTTCCGGAGAGCTCGGAAGGAGGATAATGAGCAACATAGCACATCCAACGAAATGCACCGATCGACACTGCTTAGTCTTCATCAGTGGATCGAGGGAGTGTTCGTCAATGACTGGGAAGGCGCTACGGAACATCGCGACAGCACGGCTGCCATGTTCGAGTTCTTCAAGCGGGCGATCCTTACTTTGCGTCAAGGAACGTTCAGTATGCACATCATGTTGCACGACAGCAGTCTCGTTCTAGGACACCCCGTCGGTGACTGATTTTCTCTTGCTGAAAACTTGAACGCAGTTTCAGCCGAGTGTCCATCTCCTATTGATGAAATGCTTCAGGTATCGGTACCAGAAGATCGCATTTCACATATGCGGAATCTGCTCAACACGCCTTGTATCTATGGAAAACGCCTGCGCCCTGGGATGTGGAGAGTTGATGTGCTCAAAGGCGGCACTCAACTACTGGGAAGCTGATGAGTAGTTTCTGGAAGAAGGAGCCTGGAAGGCCTCTTACTGGCGATGGGATCTTTCTGGATGACTTCCCTTCATCGTGGTACCTTTTGGTGGCAATTCGGTAGGGGCGTAGCCCATTTTCCCAGTCAGATTTTGCTACTACAACGGATACCAATGCACAATTCCCTACCAAAGATCTCCGTTTCAGCGCCACGTCTTCCTCTAAGCCTGCGGAAGAACCTTCTTCAACACCTCGACCAATCCCTTGATCTCCTCCTCGGTGTTATAATGTACCATACTGACTCTTGTCACACCCTCTGGCTCCAGCTTCAATAACTCATCGCAAAGCCTCTTTGAGTAGAAATGTCCCCATCTAAACCCGTAGTTACTAATCTTCTCCGCCTCAGCCACGATCGCCTTGCTGCTCATGCCCTTGACCGTGAACGAGATCGTTGGTACTCTTTCCTTGCTATCGCTCGAGGTAGAACCCAGGACCGTGACATCTGGTCGTGAGTTCAGGAAGTCGAGAAGAATAGCCTGTAGCTTTCCCTCATGCTCAGTGATGGCGGGGAAAGCGTCGGTGAGGTAGGCGGTGACCGTTGGAATAGACTGTACGCATTCGTAGTTCGAGCCAGCGAACCCGATCTTGTCTTCAAGAGTTTTGGTAGGGTTGAAGAAGTGAGATAGGGGCTTCATGTGCTGTTGGGCTGAGTTGCTGGCGTAGAGGGCCTAAAGATGTGTACGAAGTCAGCATTCGTCTCAAATATAGCTCGCAAAGTTTTATGTCGACTAACCGCGATATGTGGGCCGTAGACCTATGTCATTTTGTTAGTACCATGGTAACAAGAGGGTAGAGTAGATGCCGGACGGACCTTGTACCAACTGAATGCGTAGAAATCGACTCCAAAATTCTTAACATCAATCGCACGATGCGGCGCGTAGCTAACTCCATCCACGCAGAACAGCGCGCCAACCGAATGCACCGCCTCTGCAATAGACTTCACATCATGGATCGTCCCCAGAATGTTGCTCACGTGCGTGCATGCTACGAACTTCACTTTGTCGCTCAACAGCGGCTTGAGGTTCTCGGCTGTGAGTTTGAGTCCATCCTCCTTTGGAGACGCCCACCACTTCACAGTCAACCCAAGACGCTCAGCCATGAAAAGCCAGGGCTTCGCATTAGTCTCGTGCTCCATCTTTGAGAGGATGATTTCTGAACCCGCAGGGAATTGCAGGGATGAGCCGAGGTTCATGAAGAGTTGTGTTGTTGAAGCACCGAGAACTGTTCATCGTCAGCAACAGGATGCCCAGGTGTGAATGAATCTGATGGTTTCGTTACCGATCTCATCGCGGCCAGCATTCATGTACTTTGCGGCTGCTTGATAGCCCTCCTCGTACTTCGTGTTCGACTGCGTGCCGGTGTGGTATGAAGCGCCAAGCTGAACATTGGTCTTGGACAGGTATTGTACTATTCTGTATTCATATCAGTCATCATATGTATCCACGATCTAGAAATTAACTCACGAGTCAATCGCGTCGCCCAGTGCCTGACTGCCACCGGCGTTGTCAAGGAAGACCTGATCTTGCTGAAGTGCGGGGAAGCGCTCCCGAGCTTTTGAAATATCGAACGTCATGATGCCAATGTCGAGTTATCAAGAGTGATAGGAGTTGAAGACACAAGTTTGAGGGGTTCAGAACTTTTGCTAAGATGCTGTATACCTATGATAGCCGCCGGCACGCCCTATGCAGATAGTGCGGGGCTTGGCTCAATTCAGCAGGTGCTAAAGTCAACCTGTGACGGCATTGCCTGCCCCACGTTGCGCCAGTAATCAGAACGCGCATCCTCGAGGCTGCAAAATAATGTCGTGAAATAGAAGAAATGAAGTACCCCGGTAAGATCTCTATGAGACAGGCCGCCATACGCTTGCAAGATCATGTTCTTCCATAGGTGTCGCGAAACCCGATAGCTCTCCCATGCTCGGTCCTACTCCAGGCCAATTGGTCCTTGATCTTATCAGATCGCAACCCAATGATCAAATGATCATCGGGTGAGTGAACCCTCAGCGAAAGTTGCTTCTCGCATGGTAATCCGCACCCTGACCTTCGAAATATCCCAAGAGACTAGCCAATGCCGCTGTATCAATATCGCATGGTCTACCCATCTCGGACTCCCACTCCTCGTCAAACATAACGCCGTTCTCGTAGGCGTGTGCGAGCCAGGGTCCACGAAAGTATTCGCCTATAGCTGGTCCCAGCCACTTAGTCAAACTCGGGGTCGCGGGCAAGCCTTGACCAATGTAGTTGTCGTTGTAGTAGATACCGAGGCGGTGCGGGGGTATGCGCTTGAGATAAGGCTGTTCCTGAATCACCCAACCGAGTATGTTCTTGCCGAAGAAGGGCTCGCAGGAGATGGTTGCGGAAACCTCAACGCTGCCGTATTCAACCCAGACAAATCTTGGCAAGGGCTCATCTTCGGGGAAGAGGAGACCGCGAAAGAAGCATGGACCAGGTCGGGGCTCGAGATCTGCGAAGGACTTGCAAAGCATCTTGTGCATCTTCCAGTCTTTCTTCTGGCATGCGGTAGAGCAATAGCGTGCATTGCTACAGGTGGAACAGCGTTGTTCAGCAGGCTGTTTGCAGACGAAGCAGGCATGGGGAGTTGTAGGCGGAGCTGGCGTCATATCTTCTGGGTTGGTGATCTTTGAGAAGGTGTCATGGAAAGCAATGGATAGTTTAGTAGCGATAAGAAGCGATTGAAGGAAAAGGCCATACGAAGGTAAGCGGTGTTCTACGTACTTTAAACCGCGAAGACCTTCGAGGTGAGAGAGTCTCTCACTTTGGCTTTCCACATTTCCACTTCTTCTGTCCCAGCTGACTCGAACTGACCTTCCAGGCGTCCTCTTTTGGTAATCACATTACCTTTACCTTCCTCCAAGAACTTCCCCGTAACTTGCACAGCGATCTTTAACAGCTCTACCGAAGGCACACCGTCCGTCTCGATATCTTTTTTACCCGCTGCCGTAGAGAAGACGAAGCCAACAACAAACGGCAGGTTGCTCTTATGTGCTTCCCACTGCTTCCCAGATTTGGCAGCAATGATAGGACTGAACTGCTCCTTCATCCTTTCCATCAACTCCCAGCAAAGGTCATGCATGGTGAAGTAATCGAACGTGATTTCTGGAGCCTCGGCGTGGAGAGCAGTGGCCAATTTTTGTATGACGTGGGTTTGCCTTTGAATGGCCGGCATGACGGCGGCGAGGGAGGAATGATGGCGTGCGCCTTCTTTGATCTCGTCTTCAATTGTTTCAGCTGTGATGAGTCGTTCGTCGCCATTTGTTGAAATACGCGAAGCCATCCAGGCCGATACTGGACCCTTGAACTTCAACAAACGTGCGTTTGCTTTGGTCTCCTTGACCTTCGTATTCCTCTTTGAGCTTGCCCAGTTAGTTGCTGAAGCACCAATAGCCATGAGAAAGTTCTTCCAATGTCCCTCAAAGTCTTTAGGGGGTTCGCCAATGAAGTAAGCCGAATTTCCCTGCATGTCCCACAGCGTCTGAAGATCCTTCCACTCTTCCGAAAGAAGCTCAGTCTGGCGCAGGGCATGGTATAATTGCGTTACGCACATGACCGCCCCGGGTGTTGCGGCGTACTTGACAGCTTCTCTATGGAAGACGTTTCGCGCATAGTGAATCCTGCAGAAATAAAGGCACAAGGTCAGTCTATGTCTCACATGCATTTCGTACAGTCAGGACCTACCAAAGACCACAATGTGTGGGGTTGCGACGCCATACGGTATAGTCCTTGTAGGGAAAAGTAAACGCCGATCGGATGATCGCGATGGGATCGACCTCCATGATCTTATCGACCGATTTTACCAATTCCTTCATGTCGGAAGAAGCTCTAGGGTATGTCTCAACGTATTTCTGGAGCGTAGTAAACTCGTTGCGCATCTGCGTCCAGCCCGCACCAACCTCGGTAGAGTAAATGATGTCGAGATATATCTGGAATGCAAAGCACGACCAGATTGGTGGTTGCTTGTTCGTATTCTCCCTTGCATAGGATTTCCGCGCTGCCTCGAAGGCGATGACAAACTGATCCTCAACCGCTCCCGGATGATTGTGTAGCAAGGGAAGATCTTGGAACACTTCCATCAACGTCGACTTATCGCGGGCATACTTTTGCTTGTTCGTTCTGGGTGGTGGACCCTCATTTTCATCGAATCGACCCCATTTGCCATTGTAGTCCATGACTGACCCGGACGCGGAGAGATCGTTGTAAAGGTAGACCAGGAGGCCATTACGGGCGTTGTTGAACAGGGCGTCTGCGATGTCGTAGGCTTCGAAGTTGTAGTCGTTCCACCAGCCGAACCAACCTTTCGCTTGTGGGTCAACACCAGCTTCTTTAGCGATAGCCAGAAAGTACACCTCATGGAACGGCACGCTTTCGACGAGATGCTTCATCACTGGATAAACTTCGTCGTGCATGCTGTGCGCAAGCTGAATTGCTGTGTTGGTCGCTACCGACACAGTTGCCAAATCGAGTTCTCCCGCATGGTGCCGACCCCATAGGTCTGCAATCTCAGCACGAAGGCGGGAGAGGTCGTCCATCAACATGGTCATTGCCATAAAGGCATCAATGACGGAGTCGGTCAACACCTCAGCAGTGTAATCCAGTTTCATAGGTTTAGGTGGAGGTACCACGTCTGGTGCAGCCAAGAACTCCGCCGATGGCTCATATATATCCAAAACCTCGAAGATGTTGCGAAGTCCAGTCTGTCTGACTCGGTCTTTATCACTCCGAGGCTTAGCATTCTTGATGCTGTTGAGATCGAGAGCATCGTTTCTCATCAAAGGCTTGAGTGCATCGCGAACACTTTCTAGGACAGTGACAAAAAAGCTGTGACGGTCATCTGACGATTTGTCGACAGCTTCGCCGGCAGCTGCCAGCTTGTGCGAGAAAGCACTTCGAACCGATATCACCCGATCAAGTGCAACGTTGAAGTAGTCCGGCACTTCTACAGTGCCTTTGACCTTAGCAATGTGAGCAGACAAAGGTACGAAGTCCTTGATAGCAAGGGTGTATTTCGGCCTGGACGTCTGCTTGTCTGATCCACTCTGCGTAGTATTGCCGGCTTTTCTGGCTTTGCCTTTGAGCCTTTGCGTCTTCTGTTCCGTAGGAGCAGGCGGTTCGAGGGGCTTGTTGTAGCCAAATGACTTGGCTGTAGACGCGACTACAGAAAAGGGAGATTAGCGCGTGCATCTCTCGTAAGTCTGGCCGCAACTTACGCCATGATGCCACGACATCCGTATCGTGCTTGTATTGCTGGTAAACGCTTCGTAGGTTGTTGGCCGCCATTGTAGTTGTGTAACTGCGTCTATTCCAACCGAACTGACCTCAGTACATGGGTATCTGAGTGTGCAGCCTGTCCGTCTCTACTGAGTGGAACTTCGGGGGAGATATTCTGGGTGTGTTGTCTTCGCTACCATAGATCGTAAATGGGTAGAGACAGCTTTCTGGCGGTGCGCGAAGATATTGCTGGGTCCTTCCCCGCCACGCGTCGCGTCGCGATCGCGACAAATCGCTGTCTGAGGCACGCATCGACAAAAGCAAATTCCAGCCCCCGGCATCTTGGGGTGCAGAGTTTTCTAAGCGCATCCAGTTTTCCGCCCCGTCCATTGCTAAGTGATGCAGACTGAAGTGTTGTACTCCCAGTGGCAATCCGATGTCGCGCGCCTGGATGATGGAAGGCCAGATGGATGCGGCCGGCCGAGCCGTGGAAAACCGCCATGCTAAATTGGGACTAGCGTTGATGACATGCGCTGTGCGGCACAGCGAGCACCTGCAGCATTGCAATCCAGGCTATCTCAATCACCCTGTACTTCATCAAATTGGTACATCTAGAGAACGGCTCTGAACAATGGAAGGGCTGCCGCCGCTTCAAACATCCAGAAGTGAGTGTGCTAAACATCCGCCTTACATACGTCATCATCTAACGCTTCCCAGGCGGCAGCACCAGCTCGCTGAGTACTCTGCCCAACGAAGTACTACTCCAGGTCTTTTCACATGTCGATTTGCATCGTTCCATTCGTGTATTGGGCTATATTCCAGATGATCCCCCTCCAAGCTCTCCAGACGAGTATCTCATTTCCGATTTTCGCGCTAATTCTCGCTCGCTACTCAACATTGCGTTGACGTGTAAGAGGTTCACGGTTCTGGCTCGCGAAGTACTGCTCTCTTCGCTCGTGCTCGAGGTCGGCTTCCCAGGAACATTGAATGAGCTTTCCAATTCGGACATCTACGGCCTGATCTGGAGATTGCAAGCACGACCGGAATGGAAACGACATATAAAGCAGCTGAGATTGTGCTTCCCGTCGGAAGATCGTGGTATCATGAAGCTCAGTGGTTCCGGTCCGGTAGAGCCTCACGTGAACTATCTTGTTTACGAGAAGGCGTGTGAGATCGTCGCTTCCCTCGATCTACCTGCTTGGTGGAAGACAGGGAAAATTGCAGAACTGAAAGGCACATTTGCACATGCTTCAGCTTCCGTGTTCTTAGCTCTGCTACCAAATATTTCGACCTTGTGCATATTCGACACAGATTCAAATCTTACCCTTGCTGAGCCGCATTTCCAAGA